AAAAAAAAAAAAAAAAAAAAAAAAAAAAAAAAAAGACTAGTTGGTAGACTATGACAAGAAGTAATAAGCCGATTACCCTTCTGAAATTGTGTGGAAGAATGAGAGTCCAAATGTAGTTTTATTATGAACAGAAGTTCTTATGTTGGTGTTTGTGCAGATAATTCTAAGAAGATATCTCACCTTTTGGCACTGCAAAGTTTGGGCGAATTGAAAATATTTGGAGCAGAATTAACAGCTGAAAATGATTTCGATGCCCCGATAGCAGGCTGTGAACTTGTCTTCCAGCTTGCTACACCTGTCAACTTTGCATCTGAAGATCCTGAGGTAGATTGGACACTGAACTAGAAACTGCATTATAAACTTAACAACCAAATTGAATGCTCTTACACATACATATGTGTTGAAAAGAGAGAAACTAATGAGGAAATTCTTTTGCAATTACTATTCAGAATGACATGATCAAGCCTGCAATCTCAGGAGTATTGAATGTGTTGAAAGCATGTGCGCGAGGAAAAGGAGTTAAACGAGTTATCTTAACGTCTTCTGCAGCTGCAGTAACCATAAACGAACTCAAGGGGACTGATCTGGTTATGGATGAAAGCAACTGGACTGATGTTGAGTTCTTGACAAATGCAAAGCCACCCACTTGGGTAAAAGTCTAACCTTATTTAGTGTGTGTTTGGGTTAGAGTTTGCAAAATTGATTTTGAATGAAATTGATTTTGGTTAAAATTAATTTTGAAAATAAGTGATTTATGTTTGGATGATTTTACTCTTAAGACCAGCTCAATATAAAAGCTCTTACACAAAGCAAAATTTACCTAAATTTGCTTAAACTCATAGAGGTTGTTTGGATAAATTCTCCAAAAGTACCTCTAAGAGAAAAAAATAGGAAGTAAAATTGAAAAAAGTTTCTCCATAAACTAAAACTAGATTATACATAAATTAAAAATAAGACTTTAAAGAAACTAATTGGAAAAAACTTCTACAAATTAACCTAAGTTTAGGCTAATTTTAGCTTATGAAGAAACTTTTTTTTTTCTTTTCATTTTTCTCTCTTAGAAGTACTTCTGAGAATGTTTACCCAAACAGACCCATAATCAATTTTAGACTCGGAATCAATTCTTCAACATGGGACCAAATGTGTGAATATTTATCTACAATCACGTTAACTGGTATTTTAACGTGATTTAGAATGATCCAACATGAATCTAAACACGCTTATGGGGATGGAGATGAGGGATGACTCTTCACACTGCCTTGCCTCATTGCTATTTGTAGTTAGAAAAGATTAGTACTAATTGGATAGACTATGAAGTAAAGTGTTCATCCAAACATGCAGGGGTATCCTGTCTCCAAAACACTAGCA